GTAAGTCAATAGGACAATCAATGAAATTGGTAGACGTATCTGCCAACAGTTGGAGGCTGTTTCATCTCACCTGAGCCATAGGAAGTAAGGAGCCTGGTGTCAGTCAGGTGGTCTTTGATATTGATCTTGCGTAACAGCGCACTTACACTTCTATGCAAGCCAGCCTTTGTGTGAGAGCAAATTATACTATCCGACTGGTCAAACTTTGGTAAATGAATCGAAATTCATCGATTCAGACAGAGCTCCCCAAGTCTCGGTTTACAATCTGTAAACAACCCTGTAAAACTGAATGAAGCACTTTGGAAAACAACTTGGTCAGCCTTCTGCTGCCAGTGTTCTTTACTTTAAAGTATAAAGCCATGTAGTCAGTGAACACCGACCCATCTAGCAAAACAGGAGTCTGAAATCAACTTCAAGTAAGTCTGACTGACTGGTTTTAACATTGAACTTTCCACGCTTTATGTAACACACAATGGAAGACACAAGAGAGAGAAAAGAGATTCAAATGAATAATAGTACGTAGAAATGTGACGTAGAGTGAATGCATTAGCACCATTGAGAACGATTTCAAGCCATATCACTAACTGTCTCCAGTCTTCATTGGTTCCTAGTGGCTCGAGGACCCCCCTCCTCAGCTTGGCTCATGAACCGATTCCAGGTTTTGGTTAAACCACCACCAGCTCTTTTCTAGCCTAATCCTATGTCAGCTAACATTGTCCGTCGAGGAAGGCAATGGCTCGGAATGAGTAACACATATCTCCTAACCATCTCAATCGGTGTAACTTCACTAATTAATCGATTGAATTTCCCTCCCCAACTAACATTCGAAGCCTAACCTCGATATCACTAAACATATAATACCACCTAACACGAAAGATAGATCACAGACACCTGTGATCATAGACAGGCTCCTCTGATGATCATCGATTTATGACACTGTAAGCACCTGACGGCTACCTATCGTGACAAGTCACTTGCATTTTCCTGCAGTTGTTAATGAGCCACGCATATAACGTAAGGGCTGGTGGAGGTACTACCTTGCTGGTTAAACCCTGGTAAGAGAAACCGACTTGAGCCAGCGATCAGCACTGGTGGTTGGTGGTCAAAGGTCAAAGGATTGGTGATCCACAGTTCCACAAATCCCCATCAAACCCCGCAAGGCCTTGTCAACTTACTTCCGATCTCCTTAGAAATGTCACTGATACTCTTTGCTTGTGTATTACCAATCTGATAATAATAGCAATAATAATAATAATATTCGCTTTACTCCAAACAGTACTTTTGATACAATATAGAATTTCCAGCATGTAAAACAATATTGCATCTAAATTTCACTTTACACTCCCATATTAAAGGGGAAATAATTAACAGGACGCTTATACTGATAATATTGTCCAATGAGAACAGGAATATAAAATTAAAATTTAAGTGGAAATATTAACAACAATAATATATTGATGAAAGAAAGAATAGAAAGGGCCGTTTACATCATATTTTACAGCGTGAGTTACTAGATTCATGGCTTACGCTTTCCCCAACACATAAAATGTGTGCTAAATAAGACATCTTAGAGTTTTTATACTTAGTTGTCCAAGCATAAAGTTTTTTATTGTTGCCTCTAGTTCTACCCAATGAGATGGAAGGAGGGGATGCTCAAAGTCTGACAAGATAATATTTGTTAATTTCTTGCAGCAGAGACGGAATGCTACTAGATCGTCTTAACTTCTTTATGCAAAACGTCATTCAAAATATTCTACTGGGGACTAACATGATGTGGGAAGACCAAGAAAGGTGATCAGAGGGAATATACAATAGAAGGTATTTAACACTCAACTTAGTTCCAACTACTGTGGCATCTATGATAGTGGAACCATCAGTGCAAACTAACCAGTTTATGTAATTCGCGCTTGCGTCTGAAAGTAAAATTAACCATCTGACATTTGGAGGGATTAAGCTTTAGACCACCTGAGCTCAGGGACCACTGACTAATTTCTGATAAAAAGTTACCCATTCTGGAACAGTTTGACTGAGAATTAAGGGGCATAGAAACAGTCAAATCATCGACATACTTAACTAAATTGGCTTCGTCACAGTGGAGCAAGTCATGTGAGAAGAAGGAAAACAGAAAAGGAGAAGGAACAGCTCCCTGGGAAAGTGGAGCAGTGGATAACCTCCCATTGTAAACACTGCACTGCTTCATATCAGAAAAACAGGAATGCAAGCACTTATATTAGTCCAGCACTATGCTTGTATCGCAGCAAGCTTGTCCAACCAAAGAGGCCTAGGTACACAGAATTGAAGGCAGATGTGTAATCTAGGAAGGCCCACCGACCATTCTTGGCACCTCTATCTAAACTAGAGACAATATTAGGACATATAAGACGACAGTGGCATCTAAAGTACACCTACTATGTTTATAAGCAAACGTCAGCATATTTATTGAGGATAATAGGTGGTACACCATCTGGACCAGGAGACAAGGTGGGTTTCAGGAATAATAGACGCTTTAGGACATCGTTTGTGTCGAAAGCGGAGAAGCAGTCATCATTTGCACTTATAGCATTTGAGATTGCAACATCAGCTGGACGACATATGGAAGAATTATTAAGGGCACTTGCATCAATTGAAGAAAGATCAATATTTATTTACTTACTCCCGATAATTCCCTTAAACAGCTTCCACATATTTGATGAGGTTTTAGATGATAAGAACCTTTGGTTATAGATCATATTTAATCTCTGTACTTCTGATTTAACTAAACTGCTCAGTCTCATAACACCAGGATAGTCTTTCAGTTTAGCTTTTTAAGCTGAGAAGACGAGAAGCAGTAGAATCTTAAGTGTCTCTTTTCGACAACAAACATCAAGACAGAATTTCAGCAGTAAAGAAGAATAACTAGAATAACCAGGATAAACAAACTGAAAAACTAGAGACTGCTGAGTGGTGATATCAGGTTGTCTTCCCAGAAATTAACATGATGTGAAAAGACCAGAAAAGATCCAAAGAAAAACATAATCCAAGGAAGGTATTTAACATTCGACTTAGTTTCAACTCCAGGGCCTTTTATGATACCACAATCATGGGAGCCATCCAGTTCATGATTGTGTCTGAAAGTCAAATTAATAACCTGATATTTGAAAGGATTTAACTTAAGACCATTTGAGGTCAAGGACCACTGATTAGTATCTGAAACAATCCGATTGAGAAGTAACAGGTATGGATAGTATGATCAGCTCAAATACGCACACGCCCAATAAGTGTGATTTACAATCTGGTACATGAAAAATGCATTCTCGACAAGTGAATACCAAACATAAAGTGTTAATATTTAGGAAGTAGGTATGATGATACCTTAACGAAAAAAAATGTACCTATTACTTAAAAAAAAATTAAAAAAGTAATATGAAGCAAATCCACTCCCATACAAAAGAAAAGCACATGCTAAATTTAATATTTTAGAAACATGATATTTGTATTCGCCAATAATAATACTCAAATAGCCTTCAAGCTATATTGTTTCACATATTATTGATTTATGTCTAATATCACACAAACTGGAAAAAGGACAAGTTGGCAGAAAAGGTAGAGAAGATAGAGATAATGAAGACACCCAACCACCACCACTACCAACAACAACAACAAGGAGCGTCAATCTCTGTCAAGGGCAGAAATTTAGAGTATGACGTCTCTTCTCCTTACCTGACTAGGCAACATCTTTTCAACTACATGCGATGCAAATGAGGATATAAAAGGCAGATGCAAATAAGGAGGACAGGCCTTCATCAATATGGAATCAGTGTGGAAATCTGCTGCAAGATTCGTTATTTTAACACTAAAGACGAGTCAGTGCTTTTACACGGTGAAGAGACTTGACGCTTCCCTAACAGGCTACTACAGAATTTCATCATTAACTACCCTTGTTGGCTCCATACCATAGATCAGATAGCCAACAGGTGGGAAAGGATAAGTAACAGAGAATTCTAACAGACAATGAAATTAACCGAGAACCTATGGTCCAACAAAAATGTCGTAGGAAATAGTAATGGATAAATTGAACATACTTTGGGGAGACCGTTGAGTGATACCATGCGTCAGGCCATAACTCGAGGGAATCTCGATGGGAAACAGTTAGCTGAGTATCTATAGGTGGCATGGAGGAGATCGTCATGTGAGATGAGTAATCTTGGAGGCAGCTAAATGGGACTGCAAAGAACAGGGTGATATAGAGGTGTGCTGCTGACGCCGTATGTTCCACTCGGAAGCCATGAGAATAATAACACATAACATTCGAAAGTGTGTATAGGCAGCCGCACATACTACTGCTGTATGATTAGTTCAATGAAAATAAAAATGTCGTCAGTGGGACATCCATCCTCACACGTGACATCTGGATGGACCTCACCGGTCACGACTTCTCACTAGAACTCACTGCAAGAAACTCCATCCTGTAGCAAGTCACTAGCGAGCATCAGATTAATTTTCTATAGTTGGTTTGGTTGATCACGGATTGAAAACCAGGGAGTACTGGACAGCTGTTTCATCAGACTAGTTTGGGAATCATCGGCTGTACGCACCAACTGGGGTTCAAATCCAAGACCTTCCGGTTAATCTGATGCTCGCCAGTGACTTGCTACAGGATGGAGTTTCCTGCAGTGAGTTCTAGTGAGAAGTCATGACCAGTGAGGTCCATTCAGATGTCACGTGTGAGGATGGATGTCCCACCGACGATATTGGTTGGTGGTCGCGCTAAATCATGAATCGGTAGAAATTAGAATTCATGGGCTGGCCACTGAATGGGGTTCCAGCGGCCAAATGGTATACGAGCCAGCTTGCCTTGTAACCGGAAGGTCCTGGGTTCAAACCCTGGCAGCGGATGCGTACTGCCAATGATTCCCAAAACTAGGATGAAAATAAAAATACTTGAAGCACAATAAAAATGAATAACAAAAAATATAGAAATAATACTTCAAAATAAAATGACTAAAAATTCTCCAACTTACTTTTGATAGAATTAAAATCTGATGAAGTAAATGATTCTGTATTGGAACTATTTTTCACCCAATTATCAATATCAGTAAAATGTTCATGGACTGACGATGATGAAGCATTCTCAGTTTCTGGCAAACTTAGAACGTCTGATTCACAATTCTAAATAGAAATAAAATTAAAATGTCAATCAATAGTGTTTATTTGTACCTGAACAAAGGATTATTTTATTTTTTCTACTTAAACACAAAAAAACTTGGTACAGTATGGCACCAAGAAGATGCACCATACAATAATAATAAACCAACATAGATTAAAAGTAAAAATATAAGTAGAGAACGGATAAATAACTTCACATGGAAGGAAAAGTCATATTTAACAAGTTTAAACAGCATTCGTCAACTATCGTTGGGAAAGGAAGAAAGAAGGAAATTGCGAGCCACCTATTCCAGCTACCTCTCGGACTCCGACCAAGGAGTCTACACGCACCAACCGATGCTAACCTAACACAAATATCCTTCATCCCACGATGCCATGTCATGGGCTGACCACCCCTCCGCTTTTTCTATCCCGCCCCAAGGCTAGCTAACAGAGACCTTTACGGTAGACTCTGGGATGACATTCGCAGCACATTTTCAAGTCACCGAAGCCGGTGTTTTCAGATGACAACACTCAACGAGTGGTGATCTCCAATGTGTCCAATCACACGCTGCCGGATCTCAGAATTACTCCCGCGATGATGTCATCGAACACAAGCAATCCTGCGTAGACAGAGATGATCGAATATGCAGTCACCACACATTCTCAGTTCGAAGAGGCCAGGTTCCACAGGAATTAGCTGACATAGGATTAGACTGGGAAAGAGTTAAGTGTAGTCAGATCTATACATAGCACCGATCCATGAAGTTTTTCTGACATTTGATTTGAGCCAACCACATAAGGAAGTATAGGCTACCTGGTTAGACACGTTGGGGTGCTTAGAACCAATAACTGGAAGCTATTGGTGATATGGGTCAAAATCGTTTCCACATACATTTACTCTCTGTAATCTCCCACATATGTCGAACCCCCTTGTTTTTTCATGTTACTATCCTTTCTTTCTCTAACCCATTTCTACTGATTGTAGTTCGTCTGAATGTCTTTTTCCCTCTATTTTCTCCAACGTTTTGTGTTACATATAATGTGGCCAGTTGAACTGCTACTTGTCGAATACGTACAAGCGATTGTACTGGAAAAATTAATCATAAACGATGAATAATTGAAAATATGGTATTGTGTAAGGTAGGTTGAATCAAGGAATTAAATACTTCCAAGCCTACAGATGAACTGTGTTAGATTGTTCAAATAGTCTAGGAGCAATTCTCACGTTACTTTACTCAGCATATCCACCCAGTGTGATAAGGAATAAAAATAACAAAGACTGCACTTCGTATGTCCAAACTGAAACTCCCAAATTTTTTTTTCAAAACTAAGACAAGTCTTGTGTTGATTACAAACCACCTGCTGCAACAAAGGGAGAGTAGACTTCGGTTTTCCTCTCGAATTACTGTCATGACTACGAGTTCACAGCATCTGCCAGGTAAATTCTGTTTGCTGCCTTCACGTGGTGGGGGTATTCCTCACAGAGAATGAAAAGGCGAATGCGTGGCGCTTATAACTGGGCAGGTGTACATACTATTCTACCTATGGTAGGGCAGTGGAAAGCAGTGATTCCAAACCTATATGCATGGATTCCAGAAACTGAGGGGATAGAATAGCGTTCAAAACTGTTTTGGTCACCGGAAACCATGAGAACGCAGCTCCTGATACTGCCCAGGTTTCAAGTCGAAGTCTCAGAGGGTAGTCCCTTAAAATAACCACCTGCTTCAATCTAGGCACCATGGCAGTATTTCATATCTCTCAGAAACTAAGATATTTTTTGTAGCGCAAGACTTGGTGCCAGTAATGTAAAGTTTGCATTTTTTTAGTAATGATCATCAGACATAACATGCACTAATGAAATTAAAGCATCATTAGCACCATTCTAGAACTAATTGTTACTGTAAAAGAAACTAACCAGACAAACAAGAAAGAGTTCTGTGTGATAGTTTTGTGTTTAAAATATTACCAATGCAAGAACACAGCAAAGACTATTCAAAATAAACCTTCTACTTAGAGTTAAAATGCACTAGACAGTACACATTTTCTAAAACACCTCATATATGAGAAGTTGTACATTTAAAAATTGAATATAAGCTAGGTAATCACACAGGCGAACAACGCTTTCTGTTGTGATTCAGAAACAGCCATCAGAACATAAACTCTAACGCTTCGATATGTTTCTTTATTTTAGGAATCACTTTCACTTAGACAACTCTTTAAAATGTCACAGAAAGTTCTCACCAGTTTTGATTCTTCATCTAATGGCCAAAATTTCGAGTGTTTTTTACAACAAACACTTAATCGAAATCCTCAACCAATGAGCCAAGTGAGGTGATAATATATACTCAAACAGTCTGTGCGGTACAGGACCTTCAAAACTGAAGAATATGGGTTAAGTAACAGAGCCAATAACTACCTATTGAGAATCGCTGACTGCTTTCTTCATAAAGGAAGTTCACACGACTTGACCGGGAATCTAGGGAGAATTCACAGTCTTCGTTATTAAAAAGAATTTTGAGCTCCTTAGTTATCCTAAAAAATAGCTCCAAATTTAAACTGAAGTCAGACTACATTTCATATACAGAAAATCCAGTACAAAAAAAGTCCCGTTTATTCCTTTATCATTTGGAACGAACTTCTCTACCTAGAGTCTAACTAGTGACAGAACTTTGCACAGATGTGCAGCAGTTCGAGTCGCCACACTTCACTCAGCACACAAAGTCAGGGAAGAAAGCAAAAAGAAATACAAAATAGAGATAGTAAATAGAGGTATTAGGCAGAAAGAATAGTAATATCGAGGAAAAACATAGTTTTATTAATATTATAAGTCAGAAGGAGTGGGTGCATCTGCGCTATCATTGAAAACGATGCTGAGTCAAGACTAGCTAATAATAACTATTAGCTATTATTAGACTAGCTACTAACCTTCTACGTGTAAAAACCTTTCGCATTTTATAGACAATGCAAGGAATTGTCTTAAAAATTGGGAAAATATTTACCTCTGAATGGGACACATTATCAACCGTCCTGTGTGATGAGATAAATGAGTGTTCTTCTAATTCTGAACATCTCAGAGAATGGAGAGCCTTGGCTTTACACTTCATACAGATGTAACAGTTTTTGCACAACCTGAACGTATAAATTCACACAATTTAACTTACAAACACTGCAGAAATTCATCTGATAACACATCACCACAACTAGCACAAAGGTTGGGATTGCATTTTACTTCTGACTTTTCAAGAACTCCAACATCACGTTCTTTTTCAGATCCTGAATTGCTGAGTATGTCCCAGGAATCTCCAGAACCACTTGACAAACATTCGAAGGAATCGTCTCCCATTTTCTAGTTTGCTAACTGACTTGTTGCCTAAAGTACTCAGTCAGCTGATTGAAAAAAATTTCAAACAACCCTCTCTTTCACTTCATCACACTGCCTAACAAAGATTCAAATAGCAGACTCAGACCAATATTTTTCTCGGTGAAAAGACCTCAGTTTGCATAAATCTTCCTCTAATCTGAACTCGTTCTTGTTTAATCCCTCTTTTAAAGGTCTACTGAGACACCAATTCAACTTCCAGGAGTATATGACACTGTGGGGTAACCAGAACTCCACAACAACATAGTTCCTCCTTGGTATTTCAGCGTTTACTGCGTTCTGTGATCAGGTCCACAGTCTTTCTGAAGTGGAGGGAGTACTATTCTCTCTATGTCTCATTCAAAATCACTTGCGTGCCAGTTGCACATATCTGCAAACTTAACTAAATTGATGGGAAGCAATCATTCTTCGCACTGACTTGACCGGGTACTGAGTTTTATTTTTAAGATGAGCACAGGATTTTTGCCCCAAACCGGACCAACTTTAAATGTAAGGGTCAGTCAGTATGCGGTTAGCGATTAAGAAATACAGAAAGACGATACGAGTAACCCACAGGGAACTATACCTTCGTAGCAGTAAATCGTTCCCCAAAACTAATAGACCACAGTATTCTTCACATGAAACTGGATGCTGACCTTCAATGTTACAGTCGACTTGTCAAACTGAAAGTACGCTGTCAAGCATCCAAACCGTTTGGCACGCTATCATGTCAGGTTCGATAGTTTGTGTGTGACCTATAGTCTGCTAAACAGTCATAATCACACTACGTCCCCACCCCAAAGCATATATAGCGTATTCCGGATGATCAGTTTTGTGTTTTGATTTGTCAGTGGTCTAAGCAAAACAGGTAGTTTGGTAGCTGCGAGACAGAAATTGCGTTTGTATGCAACGTATCTTGCGTAAAACCTGATATTACAAATTTTTGCACCCATATCTTTTAAACCTTCTTTTTTCTTATAGTAGTTAATATCTCGTACAAACGGGTAGGTTCACATTATAGCGGTAGATAATTCCCCAGAATTATTGGCCACAGCATTCACCTCTGAACATTGGATGCTGACCCTCACTGGTTTAGTCGATTTGTTTAGCTGAACGTTTGCGACCAAGCATCCACACCATTTGGCACGCCGTCGTGTTACGTTCGTTTTTCCGTGCAATATCCCTAGCTAGTTAGGTAATCTTATCGCACTCCGATTTGGTCCAGAAATTTAACTTGTAATTTAGATGATCAATTCTGGTGTTTTGCTTTGCCTTTGGTCTCCGCGGAACGAATACTTTAGAAGTTGTAGGTAATAGATCTTGCGTTATTATACTTCGTACTATCCATGGACGTCAACACCTTTAGCCTCTAAAACATGAAATTCATGCCAATTTTACAACCATGATCAGTTATGTTATAAATTACAATCGTGAAGTATCATAAATTGACACTATTTCAAAAGTTTAAATTGTTCGATTATTGTCCAAGCAATTAGAACGGGTTCTTGTAAATGCTAAATTGTAAACCCTTCACTACGGTCACTATCAAAGCTGAGCGCCAACCCAAACTTCGTTCCGTTTCCGGCTGACTCTTATCGTCAATCAATGAACAACCTATATTTGGGCAAGTGCTATGCCTCCATGTGATTAAAAGCTATTTAAGGAAGAGAGGAACCTCCTGGGGGACTTCAAATTGGTATAAAATGCAATACAACACATCATTCGGGGTATATTTACAAGATATATGCGAGAAAGAGCAACATAGTCCTTGGAATGATAGCATACATTTGCAATGCGTAATGCTAACCATATTGGTCTAACCATGGAAACCATGACGTTTTCGATGAAATAATAGATTTGCTCGAGCATTGTGTCGTTGTTGCTCTTTTTTCTAACCACAGCAACTAGAATAAATTGAGAATGGCAGACAATTTATTGGCTACGTGGACCACTATCTTCCTCAGACGCCTTTAATGGAACTCTTCTGGCCCGACTGAGTTCCCTTATCTGGCTTACTTAGTGATTTGAGTACAGAGTCAGGCTCGATACTGTACAAAATCGATGCACCACCCTGCTTTATTCGGATCCTTGCCTACTGAATGGTTGCTCATCATATCCTGGGATCATGGGATTCAGCGTGTTCGTGTCGGGTGGCTTATTCAATAGCCGCTGCAGAATACTGTTAACCCTTAATATGAAACATCCTTCTCTTGGTTGAGATTTAACTATCTTTCCTTACTAACTTCTAGTGTGTCCGTTGTTAAGCACCGCACAGTGTCTGTGAAACACGCGACGTATGGTAATAATTTTCATTTCCTGGAAAAGAAACAAGATATTTTTACAGGTGTGAACATATATACTCGAATTATAACTAATAGAATATATGATATGATTTTTTGATAAAAATTTAGATTGAACAGTGGTTAATGTGAGAGAAATGCTGGGGACAGTACAAATAACTAAATAGTTACCTGGGGTTCTAGTGAGAAGTCGTGACCAGTAGGGTGCAGCAGGTCGGGTGTGAGGATAAATACTCGCCGAAAACATTGACTAGGGGTCGCGCTATGTCGTGAATTGGCAGAAGTTAGAATTCATGGGCCATTGGATTGGGTCCCAGTGGCTTAAGGGTATACGAGCTCGCCTTGTAACCAGAAGGTCCTGGGTTCGAATCCCGGTGGGTGCGTACTGTCGAAGAGTCCCAAACTAGGACGAAACAGCTGTCCAGTACTCCCAGGTTTTCCAATGCTTGTCTAACCAATGTCAGCTCATGATGAAAATCCTGTAACCAATCAAATCCCTACAAACCAACACTTGAAAACTAAATAAATAATTCTTGAAATTCGCTTTGTACTGGATGAGTTCTAAGATACAATATTAAATCTAAATCTCAAGCAACAGTATACCTACTGCATGTCAATTTCACGCAGGTTTGTAAGTGATTACGTTAGTAGAAGGTGATAAACAATTTGGTATACGGGGGGTTAAGTGAAACATTGGGGGTGCAGAATTTGCAACAGTTCATGAAATTCTAAAGTCACCGGTTAGTACAGCATAACCGTTCAACAGAAAAATATGTAAAACGATGCATAGTGGTACATCATTAAATATATTTGTATAGTGAAAGGGACAGTAGTAAATTATAGTATATAGTTCAGAAGAATTCGACTACTTATGATTATCGTTATGAAACAGTAAAATAAGTTATATCAGTATTTAAAACTCACCATGCGGCCAAGTTTATTATTTATATGATCACCATTTAGATGGGAAGTAGCGTAGGCGTAGATGCTATCAACGTACAGCCTTAGGTAGCTAGTAGTGGAGACTTCAATACCAGTCATCTTCAGGTGATTTGCTATTGGGTCTCGAGATTGAACCCTTAGCGCACTAAAATGCTTATAATACAATGTCGTCAGGGACATATGCAAAAGTATTTGGTTGAAGAAACAAATAAAAAACTGAGTGAGAATAGATGACTCGGGTTATGAGATCAGCCATGGTAAACGTAGAGCTTAAGAAATAATACAAAGGTTTCGGGAGGTAACAGTTAGGGTCATGGAGTGCCGTAAAAGATCTATATTTTTTTATTTTGCCACAGACTACTTCTGACCCCCTGTAAGTAAAATATTTGTCCGGTAGAGATGAGAACGTCCGTGAGGTAGAGCTATTCCTAATTTCATTTCGAAGAAGGTTTCGAATACATTGGTGCTTCACAGTGAGGGAACTAGATCTGCATTCTGTAACACTATGGAGCACATTAAAAGACGAAGATTTATTTGTGGGGTTATATTTCTTAGGTGAACTATATGTAAAGTAATTGTGGGGAAAATCTATAAGGCTTTCGATAATTTTTAGGTTGAACTCCGACTGTCTGATCTATAGGATAGATCCAGATAGAATACGTTACTTCTCTCGTAGTGAGAAATACAAAGATTTTCACCCACTAACCGTTCGGTGGACGCTCCTTTAAGATTTGATAATTTGCACCTCCCTTTTTTAAAGATACAGTCCATGGTAGCGGACAAACTCTAAGTGAGGGCCTTATATATACATATTTATTCCTGTTTATGCAGGAACATACCAATTGTACAGGCATGGATAAGTTATTATATAAATTACAGTTTGTTTGTTCAATCTAACATTAGAGTCAGTCAGAACAGTCTGCGAAATAGTCTGTCTGTGTAACACATAAAGAGATATAGAAATATTGTCTTCGCATTAACAAAAAACCCAGACTTCAGATGAATGTGATACAAATATCTGGGAAAAATAAAGCTTGAAGTCAATTCTCCTATAAAACTTTGTTGTGAACAGCATCCGTGAGATAAAGTTTATTGATGTATTATTTTGAGTCAATAATGTATTTATTCCATTTTTGTCAGCAGTCTTATCGTAGTTTTATAATAGGAAAGAAATTTGATGTTTGATACGAAAATTAGATAAGGTAATGTTAGATTGTTTTACTGCATCAAATGGGGTCAATTCTAGAACTATCCATTTGCGCCATTTGCGTCAGCATGGCAGGCTGTACATGTAAGTTGAGTAATACATTGAAAACTGTTTGAAAACCAGTTGTTTCTTTATATCAGATCAAGAATACTCCTTGTACAGAATGTTGGCCAGCGTTTTCAAGTGGTTACATCGGATCGTTCATGGAATTTGAGTTTGAATTTACTTAAATGGTCATTTCAGTTTAGATGATGGGTTGTTCGACCTCGACCAGGAGATATATAGAAGTGCAGGCTCAGGATATAATAACAGAAAGAGAAAGTATGTAAACATGAACAGGACGTTAATATTTTATGTATATACAAATGTTTATAAATGTATATCATTGTTTAGGTGGTTGCCTGTAGGTATTCGACGTTCGCGAGTTGTACGGATTATACTAACGCAAGATCTTATACCAACAACCACTATAGTGTTCGTTCTTCGAGTACCAAATGGTAAAGCAAAAGACCAGATTTTGTCGTCCAAATACGATATATATTTTGGGACCAAATCGCGGGTAGGAATGAATGCTTAGCTAGCTAGTAATCGTGCACGCACGTGACACGACGGAGCACCAAATGGCGGGGATGCTTGACCGTAAGCCTTCAGCTAAACAAGTCGACTTAAACAGTGATGGTCAGCATCCAATGTTGAGTGATGATTGCTGTGGTTAATAAT